AGCTTTCGGGGCAATTCTCTCCTCCTTCCAGCTTTTTCTGTGTTGTTCGTCTGACCTTATTTTAGTTCTACTATTTTGGTTTCTTGCTCTGCAGGAAGTGCTTGTTTAATCTTGAGGAACTGTCGGTCTATCGTCCTAGTGTGTCGGAATAGTTCTTAAGGATATTGTCCTTTCAGGCATGACTCAAGCATTGATTCATGTCTATACCCTCAACAATCTTAAGAACTATTCGAACTGAATGGCGTCCAACAATGCTGAGAATGTTGTCCCTGAAGCTGTAACTGGTGGTTCGGCTAGAGATTAGTACGCCCCTACTGTTGTTACCGTCCCCCTGCCAAGGTTGTTCCCAGACATATCGAAGATAGAAGTCTTTGATGACAGGAACTTCAAATGCTGGCAGGAATGAGTCTTTCACCATTCTTAACATGCATAGTGTGGCTGTTGCTCTTGCTCAATCCGAGTCTCCTGCTGATACTGACCAAGCCTAGAGAGTTGCATGGACTCATGCAAACAAGGTATGCCGACATACTATTATTAGCACTTTATCTAATGATTTGTTCGATGTCTACTGTCTTTACAAGGAAGCTTGTAAAATATAGGAGTCCCTGGTGATAAAGTACACTATTGAGGATATTGGCAAACAAAAGTTCATTGTGGGAAATTATAACAAATGGGAGATGACCGAGAACAAAGGATGTGAAGGAACAAATCAATGAATATCATGAGCTGCTGGAGGAGCTTCATGTTGAAAATATCAACCTTCTAGATAAGTTCATTGCTGGAATCCTAATAGAGAAGCTGTAAAAATTGCGAAATGATTACAAACAGCAGCTGAAACACAACACAATGTTGTAAAATTTATACACCATATTTGTAATTTTTCTCAAAGTGAGGGGATGCATTTGTCCACCCTTACCATCAAGTGGCTCCGCCATTGAATGGAGGTCTTGGCATTATAGATACTCATCCGATGAATATGGCATTGCTTGCTAAGCAAATTTGGAGGATTTTATCCTTTGAATAAGATTATTTGCTAGTAACAATTTGAAGATAAAGTACATTGACTCCTCAGATTTATTTTAAGCTCAAGAAACTTTACAATGCTTTTAGGTTTTTGCAAAGGCATTTTCGAGTCTAGGAACATTATTCTGTCCCATTTAAATTGGCATGTAGGTGATGGTTTTAGCATTCCTATTGATCATGAGCTCTTGTGGAAACCTACTGACATTGGTCTCTCCTATAGACTCAATATTAAGAAGATCTTTAACTTACTAATTCCTAGTTCCTCTGTTTTGTCTTCTTCCATTTTGAATAGATCTTTAATCACTTAAATATACAATAGAGATGTTGCCCAAGCCATCTTTAAAATTCCTTTGCCCCTATGCTTTATTGCTAATAAGTTGATCTGGTTGGGTAATTTAGATGGCTCTTACAGTAAAAAGAGGGTTTTTGGCAACTTTGCAGATTTAGATTAGAAGATTTTGATGAATCTTTTCAGAATTTTCTTTGAAAAATTAGCTTACCTCATAAACGACTTCTTTTTATTCAAAAATTGTTAGCACTCAGCACTCCTAATTGGAGATATTCTTAGACATAATCATTTAGATATTCATTCACATTGTGTGTTTGGTTGTGTGGAATCAGAATCATTAACCTATTTTTTCTTTTTGGGAACTGTCATTATATATGGTAGATCAATCTAGTTTGATACTTTGTCTATTCACTTTTCTAAAATAGTGGCTACTAATTTTTCTAGTTAGCTTGTCACAACTCTCACAAGGTTGCATAAGGATGGTTTGGATTTGCAGCTTAGAAGTCTTATTATCTTCCTTAAACTGGTTTGGAAAAAAAAAACAAGAAGGAATCTTGCATTTTACAAAGGGATTATTTGTCATCCAAGGGAAGTGATTAAGGAATTTCAACAATTTTGCTTTTATTGTTTGGATATTTGTGTTTGGTCTAGTTCGAACAAAAGGGATAATAATGCTTTAAATTAAAGTTTGTGATTTTGGGATAATGTGGAATTTCCTACTGTTTGGAGCATAAGGATAAAAAAAATTCAAATAGGGTTGCAGCACCTACTATCTTGTTATACTTTTTGTCAATTCTAAGCTCATGCGAAGCTTCCTTTAGAAATGATCTTCTTACAATTAGCCAAATTGCTTCAATATGCTTTTCTTTCAAGGTGTGCTAACATGGATCAAAGAAGCATTTTCAAATAGGGCCTCTAATCAATGTGGTCTTACATTTCAGTGCCATTGAGAGAAATTATTTCACTGCATTCTTTTGAAGCATTACTTTTCTCTTTTGCTGGTGTAAGATATTTATATGCTTGCTAACTACTTTGATTTTGTATCATCTAATGTTTCCCAGGACTCAAAACTCTTCATTCTCCCAATCCCTTTAGAATTATTGCAAACTTATGTATTGTAGACTAATATCTTTGTATCAATTGATCTTTTTATAAAAAAAAAAATGGTGAGAACAATACAGCTAGCAAACTAATGTTATTACTAGTATAACTAGTCACAAAGGTTTTACACTATAGTTTTTATAAATAGGTCTGAAAGAATAATTTACAGCAAACACCTTTTTCATATCATCCTATATGCAGTGAGATTGTGTAATTATAATCATTATTATTAAATATGCATGTTAGAGTAAGCGAATGGTAAAAACTAAATATGTACTGTATAAATGGATATGATGGGAAGTATATAAACAAAAATCCATAATTATTTTAATTAAATTATTGAAGATTTCCTATAAACAAAATTAAAAACTATATCTCTAGAGCGAACATCCTCATCAAGAACAAATATTTTTAAATTCTCCATGCTTCAAACATGAGAAACAATAACCTATAATTAGTCATATGTGAAAAAGGACGAAGCATGTACAAACCAATAAAAAATAGGCTCTAATTTTGGCTCTTATTAATGGGTATTGCAAAGGCCAACACGATGGGAAACTACCTCTTCTCATGGTAAATAGCAACATTGAATCAGATGGACACATAACAATATGTGGTATACATATTTTCGTCCTTATAGTTGATCTAGACATTTATTGGGCTTCAATAACATATTTTTTAGTTTATGTAACTATAAGACATGCATAATTATACAATCCCATAAACTTATCAATGTTTTTGTTTGTGTTACAATAATTGGGCAACCACTTTAAGCCTTATTTTATAACTTGGGAGACCTGACATTGTAATTTAATTTAAAAAATTTGTAGAGTATAATTCATTAAGTGGATTCATCTCCCCATCATCTTTAATAACACTATTAGAGCTCAAGTATATAACTTTCTTTTCGAGAAGTAGGGACAACATGTACCTGTTTACTTCTTCAACCACAGCCAACATATGAACTAATATAGCCCTATCTCTAAAATATAAAAAATTTTATATTAGTAAGGAAATTCGAGAAAGTTGAATAAACAATAAATTTTACTAGATTATTTGAACCATCCAGTAATATATCAGTTAGGATCTTAATATCTACAAATCCTTCATTAGCTCTAATAGTAATCCCATCACCAATTGAGATAATCTAGTGTGCAAAATCTTGAAGAACACTAATAGGTACTCTATATATTATTTAATTTGTTATTGTTAGAAAGTCTCATGTTATTGTTAGTGTAAAAAGTTGACAATTGTTCCAAAACGAAGAGTTAATGACATCTCTTGATCCACCTAGAATAATAAGAAGGACGAATCTTCCTAAAGTCTCCATCAAGCACAGCAATTTTTCTTCCAAAAGGAATATTACCAACTAATAGGTTGTTTAACTTTAGAATATCCTTTAAGCATCTTTTAAGAGCTTTAGGGAAAAATTTGTGTGCCATTAGAGCCTCAACCCATATAATCAATGACAAGTGAATCAATAATTTAGCTAAGTTGCTCTCTTATTTCATGTTACATATAGTGTTTTCAATCATAGAAAAAGGAATACAAAATTGTGAGTGAGTTTTCTATCCTCTTGGTATCATTAGAGAAGCTATTTTGCTTGATGCTACATTGATAACTATTCTACCAATATGTCTTAATAAATCAGAAAGTGTACTCCAAAGATACCTCTTCCCAATACCACCATATCCATACAAGGAAAAAATTTATCCTTCATTAAATTCAATGGCATCAATAATTTTATCATAAATCTTCTTTTCTTGAAAATTAGGCTTTGAAGAAACCTTAATAGTTCATCATATAATGTAACTATATCATAATTTAGTTCATTTTATATTAATTTGTTGCCACTTGCATCCAACCTTGACATAAGTAAAGGTATAGGCTCGTAATCTTTGAGACTTTTCTTGTTAGATTGTAATATTTTCTCGATTTCAATTAGAGATAATATTTAATATGAGTTGAGCTCATAGGTCAACCCAGCCAGAGTTATAGGTTGGGTTGCATAATCTAAAACTTAGTTAGATATAAGTCAATTTTGGATCATACAATTCAACCCGAGCCCGCCAGCTCACTTATATTTTTTACTGTTTCATTATTCATTCATTCCTCTTCCAATCCTTCCCCATTTTATTCCAGCATCTAATTAGAGTAATCTTCCTATATATTATACTAAATAAGTATTTCATTAGTATAATATATAGCTAGAATGAAATAGTAGCAATACCATTTGGATTTGAAAATATTTGAATCGCATTAGTATATAATGACAAGTCAAATTGGTGAGAACAGTACAGCTAGCGGGCGAACGTTATTATTAGTATAATAAGTAATTCATTAATAATTGGAAGGTCGTGTGCTGCGTGTGGCCCAAAAAAAACAAAAACAAAGATGATCGTGAATGCATGCATCTTGTGACCACATTGTTAAGCATATACAGCTAACATCCTACAATGAAACGCAGTTCTTAATGTGTTTGAGTTTCAATTTTGTTGCGTTGGCCCACAGAATCAGAGAGTCGAAAACTGGGTGTATAAATAGGATCGATACAATGTGAGGGCATCGATAAGAATCAAAGTATCAAACAGATCACGCAAGGTTCTGCATTCAACTCAATTTATCATAAAGCCACAATGAACTCGTCCAAGTCCAAACACAGCTTCTGCTTGCTGCTGCTGCTATGTGTTAATGGGATAGTCTCAGCTAATGAATTATCCTCTGATTATTACGCGTCGACGTGCCCCGCTGCTCTTCTCACCATTAAAGCAGCGGTTTTGGCCGCCGTGCTGAAAGAGCCTCGCATGGGAGCTTCCTTGCTTCGTCTCCATTTCCATGATTGCTTCGTCCAAGTAATTTTCTTAACCCAACATTTTCATGCCATGTGATTAAACTGGAAAGTGAACGAGAGGTATTCTTTTGTTTTTGCAATGAATCTACAGGGATGCGACGCATCCATATTGCTGGACGACTCAGAAAATTTCAGAGGTGAAAAAACTGCTTTTCCCAACGTGAATTCAGTGAGGAGCTATGAGGTTATAGACAAGATCAAATCTGCTTTGGAGTTCATGTGTCCTGGCGTTGTGTCCTGTGCTGACATTGTGGCCGTTGCTGCCAGGGACTCAGTGGTTACAGTAGGAAGCTGATTCATGAACGCAATGACTGGTTTTTTAAATTATTGAAAGAGATTAGTATACTTTTGGTTCACTTAATAAAATATCAATGAACAAATGACAGTGAAGCAATATACATATACATATATATATAACAATTGACTAATGTAGTGCATGATTAACACGTGTCAGCTGGGAGGACCATCCTGGGAAGTGAAAATGGGGAGAAAAGACTCGATCACAGCCAGTTTAGATGATGCAAATAGGGATTTACCGGCTCCCTTTCTGGATCTTAGCGGCCTCATCTCTGCTTTCTCCAAAAAGGGATTCACAGCCCAAGAAATGGTTGCTTTGTCAGGTAATTAACGGCCCCTTATATGCTTTTTTTTATATACTTTTCTTTACTTTGTAAATATAGATTGCGAAGTTGAGATTAGGAGAAAGGAGATTGAGACTACCAGCCATCATGAGTTCCCATGACTTTGAGTCTCTTTTAGTCTTCTACTCTCTTAAAGCCTATTGAACTTCATTTGCTTGGGTCAGCTCAGCAACATAATTTTCCCAGGCTCTCCCTAAAATGGATTTGGATCCTCTCATCATCCTTTCTTTCCCTTTTCTTCTCCTCATCCCATCATCCTCATTTTTGGACTAAAAATTCAACTATTGACATTTAATCAAATTCATTCATTTAAAATTTAATATTTTAGAAAAATATTATAATAAAAATAAATAAATAAATAAATAGATCTAAAATGTTAAAATCTAATCTGAGCAATTCACAACTGTAAACTAACCATAGACTATAATTAAAATAACCGTTCAATTTTTAATCCAAAGGATAGGATGAGGAGAAGAAAATGAGAGAAAGGAAAATGACAGGATCCAGATCGAAAATTGTATCATATAACTTGAATGTCTTCGTTCTTTATCCTTTCTTATACCATGTCTCTCCACTTCCCCCCCCCCCCCCATATATATATATATCTATATTCTATTTTTCACAAATATATATATTCTATTATTAGTTTGTGCCTTTTCTGAGTAGTATTGTTACTTAATTTGTTGATGTTGTTTTAAGTTTGGTGATTAGCTTATATATGAACTCGTGCCACTAGTTGGCTTTAATGATAAGTTCAAATTGCAAAGAATCCGATACACATATCTCCAAATTAAATGTGGTCACTCAATTCTAGTCCATTACGATAACTTACCATGCATGCATGTGTCTCTTTTCATTAAAAGAAAAACCATAAAAAGCTATATTGATAGTATGCATGGATCTCGGGCAGTAGTCAAGGAGTGATTGCATGAATCCATATAAGCATTGATTTGAATTATGGAAATGAATTGCTGTATGTTCAGGATCGCACACAATAGGGCAAGCGAAGTGCGCAACTTTCAGGACAAGGGCTCACAACGACACTAACATAGACCCGTCGTTTGCAGCATCACTAAGAGCAAGATGCCCAAGCGCAGGCGGCGATGGCAATTTATCACCTCTAGACGCCACCACTCCCAACTTTTTCGACAACTCTTACTTCAGGAATCTGGTAAACAACAAGGGTCTCTTGCACTCCGACCAAGCTCTCTTCAATGGAGGCTCCTCTGATTCCTTGGTCACCACTTACGTATCCGATCCTTGGCGTTTCAGAGCAGACTTTGCCAATGCCATGCTTAAGATGAGTGAACTCAGCCCTCTAACTGGTTCCCATGGCCAGATCAGGAGAAATTGCCGCAAACTCAATTGATCTATTCACTGCAATTCTATATATCATTCATACTTTGTCTCTATTTTCATTTCTTCCCGGTGACTTGTCTTTCAGTAAGCCTAGTTTGCTGTTTTATTGATGCTGTTCCTTTTTAATTTTTTGGTTTTCTGGTTTCAAATGAGACTTTTGGAGGAATAATTGTTAAGCCAATTTAAGTTATTTACTAAGAATAAATTCCACCCTTCTCATAAATAAAAATTTAGATGAGTTAGGTTCTATAAGTTCACTAGGGCCGATGCATATTTTCATATTCAAAGAGTACTTATAGAGATATCTATAAATTAAATCGTTACATTGATAATGAGATTTGAACTGATGATTTTATGAATTATGACTCAAATTCTTATTAATTGAATTAACTTTTATTGGTTCCCATATTTTATGTAAACATGTATAACCAAGTTTTTATTTTTTTGGCCGAACATGTATAACCAAGTTCAATCAGCCAAAAAAAAAATGATAGGAGTGCTTTAATTTTTTAGGGTAAAATACCGTGACTTTCCTTTTATATTACTAATTACGTACATGAACTTCCATCCTGTTTTCAAGCATACACTTTAACCCAACTTTGACATAATTGAGAATATTTTGTTAAAGATGTTAAAATATTTAATTTTTTACTTGTAATCATGTTAGAAAATTTACAATTACTAATTTTTCCTTTATAATCAAATTGTATACTCTATCTTTCTCCCTATAAATAATTTAAAAATATTGTTTGAAGTTAATAAAATTTAAATAAAAATAAACTTAAATTATATTAACTAATTTATCTCTTATTATATTAAATACCTATTTCATTAATTTTTTATATGTATGTTTGAAATATGATTTTAACCACAGATGTATTTACTTTTTAAAAGATTAAATAAATAATTTTACATAACTAAAACTAAAATATGAATAAAAAATAAAAAAATATATTCATTAATTTGAACATACAAGAAAGCGTACCTCTTCTATAGAGTTCCGATCAAATCCTGGCCATCTGAGACCATTCGAACTCTCTCTCCTAACCTTCCAAATCCAAAGTTCATCTTCGTGAACTATGCGACTTCTTCAGCTTCTTCTTGATTTCGTTTGATCAATAGATCTGGTCCATGAACCTACCGGTAGCAGTGTTGATACTTCCCCTGCCTTTTTCCCATGCCCTAGGGTTTTTTAGTTAGGGTAATTTAGTCTTTTAACATTATATATATGTGATAAAAATAATACCAAGATTTTATGAACATACCATACATATTTTTAAACCTCATATCTATTTTCATTTTAATATCCATTTTTCTTTTCATCACATCAAACAGGGCCTTAGAGCTCAGATTAAACATATGGACATCATATGGAGTGAAAAATATTAATAAGATCATGAAGTTAACTTCTTTACTAGATTTTTTACTAACTTGTTTTCATGAAAAATTGTTTTAATTTTTAACATTTTAATATATTATTCTTTTGATGTCGTGGATATTTTGTGTACCTTATTTATAATGAATAGAGACTAAACTAAATTTTGAGAATTTACTGTGCTGGTTATTATTCTTGTTATTTTATATATTTTTATACATTTACCGTTTAAAATATTTTTGAACACTGGTATTATACCTTGCAAGCTTTTTTACGTAAAGCAAGATTTTTTAAATTTTTACTGCTTATCATTTCGTGCATGCTCATCATTTCTCTAATATTAAAATAAAGTGAAATCATATAATACAAAAAGGGGATCAACTCCATTTTTCTATAATCATATGATCTATAAGTGGGAGAAATATACTTGGGAGAGATAATTCCTCCATTCGCAATGTCATGAAATATCGAAACAGACATATGGATTTGCGCAAGACTATTCTGGAGACCGAATTTTAGGTGAGACAGTGACAAATCATTTGATTAAAAGAAGTAATTGTCTATTTGTTAGTTAAAAGAACCCAATCCAATTAATATTAAAATTGATAGTCAATTGTCATTTATCTTACCCGTTCAACAGCACGAGCCAGTGTTTATTATCTTTCTTCTTGTTGACCATGTCCCTAGAAGAGATAGTACAAGAGATAGAAGAACGAAACAAAATAAAGAAAAATCGTTGGCATAGAAATTTACGCGTTGTTTATGTTTCAACAACTCCTATATTACCGAATCTTTATTACGTATACGAAGAAATGCTACTGAAACAATCACTTTAATTATTGTATGCATGTCCCTAAAATCAACGAGCAAAACTCTCAACTAGACTAAATCAAAAAAAAAATTAAATTCAAATGACTGAATCATTCTTTCCATGATTGCTTGCCCGAGTGAACTTTAGCACTGGCAAGTTAATTAAGCAATGTGTTCCTTAAGATGCCCAGAAATGGTCGTCCGGACCTGGTCCAGCCATCGCTATTGGCAGCTATAGTTAGGTGTCATATGGCGAAGTCCCCTTCCTCTGCATGCACTATATAATATTGTCCTCAGTTTATAGCTCATACATTCGAAAAATAATACAGTATAGTCTTGAGAGAGCGTGAACAATCAAATGGCCTCGCAAAGGTGTTTCTGCATTGTGGTCTATTCCTTGGTGTTTTTAGGTGTCGCGAACACAGCCCTGTCATCAACATCACTGTCTCCTGATTTCTACGGCCACTCTTGTCCCAAAGCTTTGGACACCATCGAAAGAGTCGTTCAGGCTGCCGTCTACAAAGAGCGTCGCATGGGCGCTTCTCTGCTGCGCTTGCACTTCCACGATTGTTTCGTTAATGTATTGTGCCTACCCTGCTAGTTACTTCATTCCTGGCACCCTAATTTATATATATGTGCACATGATCGAGTTAATTGGTTTAATCAATTAAGGTTTGATTGGGTGAATATTTAATACTCAGGGATGCGACGGATCAATTCTTCTGGATGATTCGGCAACAATAGAGAGCGAGAAGAAGTCACTGGCAAATGTGAATTCAGCGAGAGGATTCGAAGTGATCGACGAGATCAAAAGCGCAGTGGACAAAGCGTGTGGTGGCCCTGTCGTTTCTTGCGCCGACATCTTGGCCGTCGCGGCTCGAGACTCGGTCGTCGCTGTACGTCGTATTACAAAAACATCAATTTATTGAAACTATTAATGAATGAAATCAATGACTTGAACTCAATTTCTACGTTGCAGTTGGGGGGCCCATCATGGAAAGTGAGGCTCGGCAGAAGAGACTCCAAAACGGCGAGCCGAACTGAAGCAAACGCGGCCATCCCAGCCCCATCTTTCAGCCTGTCTCAGCTGAGGAACAGCTTCAAGAATCAAGGCCTGAGCGAGAAAGACCTTGTGGTTTTATCCGGCGGCCACAGCATTGGGTTGGCGCAGTGTGGTACATTCAAAGACCGCCTCTACAACGAATCATCTGAGATCGACCCCTCCTTTGCCAAAGACCTCAAGAGGGGGTGCCCCACAGATGGAGGGGACGCCAACCTGGCTCCGCTGGACCCCACCGCAGCTCGATTCGACGTGGCCTACTTCTCCAATTTGCTTCGCAAGAAGGGCCTTCTTCACTCTGATCAACAGCTCTTCAGTGGCGCCTCAACTGATGCATTGGTTCAGAAATACAGCTACGATACGAAAGCTTTCCGCAAGGATTTTGCCAATTCCATGATTAAGATGGGAAATATAAAGCCCCTCACTGGCTACCAAGGCGAAATTCGTTACAACTGCAGGCAGGTTAACAATTATTAAAAATATATGCGCGCTTTTCTGTGTGAAAAAGAGCCGCCGGACTTTCATTTTCATTTTCATCAAAAAATATGTATTTATATTGGAGTGCTATTATGTTCTTTTAATTTATTTATGAAATATTCTAAAATATGTGTGATCTATAATAAAAAAACGAGCTACCTTAAGCTTAGTACCTCTGCTGGCGTTTTGCCCCGTTGTATACCAACGTATGGTCAAAATATTCTTAGTTATTTTTTCAATTATAAATTATCTTTTAATTAACAATTATCCTTCTCTATACTTTTTTTTTTTTAAACAATCCATAACATCTCGTGGAGCAATTTTTCTTCTCTTTCATGGAGCAATGTTAGTCTGTGACTTGGACGTACAGTTCTTTACACACACATACATGTGCTATCATCCCTTTCAAAGATGAAGTTTTTATACCACACACCAGAAACATGTGTCTATCACTTTTTTCTTTAATTAAAACCAATCATAATGGGATTTAGATATTTTATTTTGCAAGGTAGCTAGACAAATAAAAGAAAACAAGGAGCTAGAAGGAGAAGAGGCTTTGAAATTAAACATGTAATGAAATATAATAGGAAAAATATCCTTCAAGGACCACTAAGGGTATTTAATGTTAATCAATGACTAAAAAATTCTGAAATATTATTGTAGAACTAGGAGATTGATTTAAAAATAATTTTATATGGGAAAAGATTATAATGCCCCTGCCTTTCTTTTTTTAATGGATGAGTAGCCATTTATAAATTAACAAGCACCTATTTGCATTTAGCAAGAACTCAATCACTAGTTCACAAGTTCAAGAATATGAAAAAACTTTGTTGTGGAAAGGAATAATTGTAAATCTTATTTCAACGAGTAACTATTTGTTAATTAACAAGTGCCTATTCGCATTTAATAAAAAATTATTCACTAATTAACAAATTCAATAATAAAAAAAAATTAGTTGTGGAAAAAGGAACAAGTGTAGATTATAAGGTTACTTTTACTAAACCTTATCATCATTTTTTTTCCTCCTCCACTTCTTCCAAGCTTTACAAAGGTTCCAAAAATTAAAATGACTCAAATTAAAAATAAAAATTACTCTAAAATAAATCAAAACATAGTATTTACAAGACAAGCTATCTAACACCAAAATAAATACTAAACATAAAATAATAAAATAAAAATAACTAGATGACTCTCTAATTAACTAATAACACTCCTCAAAATATATGAAAATATAGAGAGTCATCACGCCCCTATACACTTGAATCAAATCTTGTTCTCAAGATTTTTGAGATCAAAGGCCACTAAAACCACAAGAAAACAAAAGAAACAAAGATTGTTGCAAATATGATAAAATCAGATACAGTTTCAAACTTTCAAAAATTTCACCTTCAAAGAAATCTTTCCTACCTTTCAAGAGTTTTAGTAACAAAGCAACTAATTAGGCTAAGATAAATCACCAAGGATTATCCCTCACCGATTAAATGTTTTTACTGTACTCTCAAGGTGTTTTAAGAGCTTGTGTATCACTCAATTTCATCTATTGAAATTCATCTACCATAAGCTTGTCTCTCATCTCAATCTCTACTATGTTGTCCCAATGCATACACAAATCAAAAGGACCTATTATAGAGTTAAATGCATAAGATAGGATGATGGAATGAAATAGATAAAGAATAAATGAAACCAACTTCAATTAGTGCTAAGCATCATCAAATAGATTTCAAGAAACAGGAGTTATCATCTATGAGATCAACGAACTAATCCATATTTCAAAATAGTATATTGACATGAATTCTCTATTATTCATCTCATATTTTTTATTCATCATTTTTTATGCATACATTATTTGCTTCTTCTTTTCTTTCTTTCTTTCTTTTTTTCATCGTTTTTATTTTCTTTCCTTTTCAACTCTTACAAGGCATTTGCATATTCATTACTTTCTAACAAACATGGACTCCTTTTATTTTATTTTTTTTTCAATATTTTTGTTTTTCAATTCCTTCACCAGTTGCCGTGCTTAGCACCAACTAAAGCAATTAAAAGGGGTAAAAAATAAAAGGATATTTTGATTCCCACAAAAGGCTATTAAATTATTCTTTCTTTCTAAGGAAAGGCCAAGGCTCAAAGGTAAAACATGGGATTTAATGTGAATAGGTTGGATATTTGGCCAAAATGGTTATGAAAAAGAAAGCCTAAATCATCTTTGTGCATGCAAAAAGGTATTTTAAGTTTTAAGAGAGATTGAAGACAAGTTCTAGAGATATAATTCCAATATATATACTTCCTCTTAACAACAACAAAAAAAAAATATTTAGGCTCAAATACCTCACAAGCTTTATTTAAGCCTAATTTCTTACTCATTTACTGAAGTCCTAAAAAGGTAGGACTAATTCCTCATCAATCTTAATTCTCTCAAGTTGAAATCAACCCAACTTTAACAATATTTGCAAATTAAAACAAAAAAAAACAAAATTTTTATAAAATTTTTCAAGGTTTTCATTTTTTTCTATTTTTAACCCAAACAAAATGAGCGACACCAAATTGCAAATACTTACAAACCAATATAAATTGAACAACATAAAACCAATAACACCCTCCCCCACACTTTAACATAACATTGTCCCCAATGTTATCAATAAGAAAGAGAGAAAGTAAGGACACTGAAAACTCCCTTGACAAGAGCTGAATGGAGAGTAGAGAAGGAAAATGAAGATCATCTAGACATATCCTATATCTTTTTTTCTTGACTCTCCAATGCTTTGCTAATCTTCTTCAACAATTCTTTCTACCTAGAGATGCATGGCCTACAAACAAAACAAACACCAACTTAAACAACAAAACAAGAAAATTAACAAAATCAAAATTTAAGAAGCAAAAAACTTAGGTTGCCTCCCAGAAAAAGCTTTGTTTATAGTCTTTAGCTAGATTTCTTAACACAAACATCTAATTATAAGTATCAAACATCACAATCATCTTGTCTTCATTTCTTTTCAAGCAACAAGGTATTAAATGTAGAAGTTCCTTATTCATATTAATGACCTATACTTTTTCAACCATTAGCAATCTTAAAGTACGAGCATTCATTAATTTCAAAGAAAGTTTAGAAGGCACATCCCAATAATTAGAAATAGGAGCTTCTAAAACTTCAGAACATCCAATAAAATCTACTTGACTGTTATCAGTAAGAGTTAAAATTTCAATAGGAGGGTCATGTATGACAAGTCTCAGAATTTCCTCATCAAGCTTAACATTAAAATCATAAAGATTGGGCTCTAGAGACAAAACTTCTTCTAGACATCCATTACTTTCCCAAAAATTGGTTTCAAGTACATTATCACCTTTTCCATTATCTATATTCTCATGCAATTCCCCATCCTCAACTTTCTCACAATAATCTTCATCAAAGATGAATGAGGAAATATAATAGCAAGTGTTTTTTTTGCTTTATCTCTTCAATATCTTCTAACATTTAGCTCATATAGTTTCCAATATTTTGAGCATTTGACTAAACTTAAGCTGCTAATGCGTAATCAATTCAAACCAACAAAATCAAAGCAAGCTAAGCAAATCAACAATTCAAAAGAAAAAGAAAAGAAAAAAAATGCTTAATTGAGAACCATTAAAATTTCTTTAATGCTATCCACCAATTACTTTAATTCCTCAGTAGCGGTGCCAAAAATATGATGCACATAAAAATTAAATGGATACCACAAGTGTACGAGTTGCAATTATAGTTAATGACAAATCAAGGTCTATTCCATAAAGAATTAAATAAATTGACAAATAGACATTAAATTACTGATTTCATTCAAGTTAAGTAAGCAAAAAATATAGTGGTGAATGATTCAATATAAAAATAAAAAATGTAAAGTGAGCAACTAAGGTTTTGAAGAACTTTAAAGTCTAGACAACAATTAGGAAAACACCCCAGAGTTCTAATATTTCATTTGCTTCATTGCACTCAACTTACAATTTTAAGGGTTAAGATGCTATAATGAATCCTGAATATCTTTCAATTACCCAACGTCCTCCTTAATTTTAACCCAACAATTCCTTGCCAAAATTAAGTTAAGAGCATTAAGTATAAATCTCCTCTATCCACTTAAGTTTTTTACGTACATTCTAATCTTATAGGCAAATTAAATATATTCAATCCTAAACATTCAATTCCAATGGTTCAAATAGAAATTCCTTTCCCAAGTTCATTCTATTTCTCCAAATCATCACTTAGTGGTGATCAATCATCAAGAAACATAAAACTAATCTAGAATTAAAACATAAAACATTCATTAATCATAAAGTAATCAATAAATCAACATGTAACTAGAGTAAATGAGTTCATAAGAGTTTAGAGTATTAAAGTTCAGCCACACATAGTTAAATACAGTCTTAAAAGAATAATGGGTCATAATCATATACATAGGAGAAAGAAAGATAAAAGTGAAGAAAAACTCAATGAAAACATGAATGGTGATGAGTTATCTTGCTCCCAAGACCCAAAGCTCTCCAAAATTGCTTCTAGACCTTTAAAGAACGTCTAAAATGAAGCTTCATTTGAGAAACCTTAGTTTTCCTCTTTTATAGGACAAAAAAACTAAAATTGTGTGTTCCAATGTGAAATTATTTATAGCACCCGTTGTAGTGGGCTCTGTTTTTGGTTCAAAATTTACCTTATAACACTAACCTACTATAGTGGCTGTTGAAGTGGCTAATCATTAAAGTTTAATTTCTTCATTAAAATCATCCCCTTCCAAGATATATAAGGGTTCCTAAAATTAAAGTGACTCAAATTAAAAATAGATATTACTCTAAAATAAATCAAAATATAATATTTACAAGACAAGCTATCTAACACCTAAATAAATACTAAACACAAGACAATTAACTAAAAATAACTAAATAACTCTCTAAATAACTAATAAAACTCCTTAAAATACATGAAAATATAAAGTCATCACTAAACCTACACTTAACCAAAACATCCACGGTAATTATGGGACTAACTCAAATAGATTAGCTTTGTTTAAAAATTCATTAAAGTTAAAAGTAATAAAAATGGGATCCTAAATTTTATAACTTTAAAACACTTCAAATATCACTTTAATGAGCTTGAATCAGGGTATAAGTAAGTATAGAAGCATGTGACACCAATTTATATTCAAAACATGTGAA